ATCCACTCTCGTAAGCTAGTTTTAATGTTTCTATGTCACCAATTGAAGCAGCTTTACTCGTCGTACCTTTTTCAAATGGACAAATTTTTTTGTCTTCCGAATGTTATTTTACAATCCCTAAACAATTACATTAATGAATTAATCTTTGCTTTTTTAAATTTTATTTAAATTACTAAATAATATCTAATTATGAAAGTGACAGTTTAATATAAAATATCATTTTTTTTTTATCTTACAAAATTTAATCTATGACTTGAGATCTATAATTATCTCTACTGCTGCTTTATAACTTTTTAATAGATTTAATGTAAAACTAGTGAATTTATTAGTTTAACAATAAATCTACGAGTTCAATCCAAATCGGTTATTAGAAATTTAATGAACAATCACGAACCTAGTTTTTATCTTATTATATTATAAAAAACGGTAGCACAGTAGGGTCACGGCTCAGTATGGACGTGGCATAGTTAAGACAAGTATAGATGATACCTGACAGTGATTAAAATCACTATCATAAAAAACGCTTCGATTCAAATCTGTAGATAGTATTTAATTTTAAGAGATTGATAGATTATTTCAAAAGCAACCATAACTCATTTCCTTAATTTTATCCCGATTTATAATTATAATATATGAATACATTATAATTATAATAATTAAATTTAGTATGAAATTGATATTCAATAATATTGTAATTTTTACGGAGATATTATAAAAATAAAAAGGAGTTTTATATTCATAACTTCTACCGCGTATAAAAATTTAAAAAGATTGATAGAATACTTTAAAAAAAAAAAAATTTGTTACTTATGAATAAATACACTAAACTACAAGGAACTTTCATCAGAAACAAAAATATACTTTTCTAAATCAACTTTTCGCGATATTTTCAAATGTGCAATTAAACTTTTTCTATTACTTCTAAGTTTTAATATTATTACTTATTATTAAAAAATAAGTATTTACATATAAAAAAAAATAATTAAGAACAAAAAAAATTAATACTGATTTTGATTATTAATATGTTAAAAATAAATAAAATTACCTATTTTTTTAATCGTTTTAAGTTGATTTTTGTGAATACTTATAATAAAAAAAAATTTATTTATAACTTTTAGCTGAATTGGCAAGTTTGAAATTGACATCATTAAATAAAAAATTTTGAGAGAATTCAAAAAATTGTATCGTTAAGATTAATATGTAGTTAAGAAGTTTTATAAATACTATTTATAGTAAATTTATCAGAATAGTTCAATATTTTTATCGTAATAGATAAATTAATTAGAAATAATAGTAATCATTTCCTAATATTTTTTGGTGTTTAAAAATATTCTAATTGAAAAATTCAGAACTTAATTAATTGTATTATGATTTACTAAATTAAATTAACTAAATTTACTAAATAAAATGAATTAACTAAATGGACCAATCGAAACAAAGTTGTTAAAAAGATTTACTTAATTGAGCGTATTATAAAATTTGATTATAATTGTAAAAATCCATTGTTAATTCAGGAGAAACTAACAATCATTTTTTTTATAATTGATTTATATAGCAACATGTTACCAACAAATTTGGAATATTATAGTCTAGTAGTAGCACACACAAATAGAATAAAAAAATAATTAAATTACAAAGTAATATGATTTAATTTTGTATTTGAAACCTATCATATCAAATTATCATATCAAACTTGATTCGTCAATAAATTCTTTGAAAACATTAGAAATAAATGATTTTATTTGTCTGTATGGAAAACATGGAATAAGTAACTGTTTCATTGATAAATTAGAATTTTTTTTTCAATTATTGAGGGTAATATCTTTACCTAGATACGAATTGTAGTCATTTGACGTATCGTTGAAAAAAGTACGTCAAGTTAGAGCAGAGAATATAATATAGAGAGAAAATAAATGATAGTCACAAAAAAATACCTTCTCAGTTTTGCATCGAAGCTAAAACCTACAATATCGTAAAATAATTTTAATATGAATAATAAATTTCTTCTCGCGAGTGGCAACTACAGTGATGGGATCCTTGATCATTATTGAAGTTATTGAATCTAAATGAGATAAAAATCAAAGCAGTTGAAAATTTATTCGAACTTAAAAAGAATTAAGAAACAATGCAAAAAATTCATTGCCATACGCGGTTTGAAACCTTGTACCCCAAGTGCGTAAAACACAAGTTTAACCTACTCAGCAACAGTAAGTCGGTAACGTCAGCTGAAAAAATTGGTTATTTAAGCTAGTTCAAATTACAAAATTATTTTTCTCGACTCCAAAAAGCAAAAAAATTTATATAAGTTTAACTTTTTACGCTATATCAATTTTTTATTTATATAATATTTATGAAAATCTGTACTCCCCTTGTCAGGTATTTTAAAAATAGCATATTTTTGAATACGGTAGTCATTTTTACCATGAAGACAAATCCAGAGGTCAAATTTTTTTTTTCATATAAGTATATTACATTAGCTTTAGTTTAAAGTATATATAAAAGTATCAGTCTTTCCGGAAAATTTTCAAAAGTTAATTTTTTGTAAAAAAGTTACCATTTTGAAACCCTTCCTGAGAGCTTGTAAATGGTCAAATTTTCACAAAAATATATAAAATGATAGGTATCTTTAAAAAAAAATTTATATTGATTCGGTCATTTTAAAAAAGTAATGGCAATTTTAAGTAAAAAATGTTGAAAATTAGCGTTTTTTAAATTTGTAATTTTTTGGAGGATCCCTCGTTTACGGGGAACGAAGGAATTTTTTTCAAATTTTGAAGGAAATGTTTTCGACTAGATACGATGTGATCTTTAAATTGTAAATAATTGTTAGAAAATTTATTCAGCTATAATATAAAAACTTGACTATAAATTTTAATCACAACTATTAACTAAAAATATATATCATCATTATATTTATAATAATTATTAAAACACACTGTTTTAAGAAATACGATAAATATTCTTTACCTGAACATTTTTTAATGAACAGATATTGAAGTGATTTATCTTCGTGTTCTGAAAATGGATCGTCGTTGAAGTCCAACCACCGAGTTCGATCGAACAAAAAATACATTCTACTCAGTCTCATTTGCCTAAATGGTAAATTCCAGCTTTGAACATTTGAATAGGTGTTAGAAAATTCAGATTTAATTCGTTATAAAATGTTCTTAGACAATTTTCGTACCCGTTAGAACCTCAGCTGAGTTTATTTTCATAATTAATTTACAAATGTTATTTTTTAACATTTAGTAACAACAAAAACACACTAGATGTGTGAAAATCAAAACTGAAACTAATATGTCAACAATTTGATTATCATTTTTATTTATTTATATATAGACAAATGTAAACACAACCACCACTACAAACACTGTAGTCTTTAACCATTATATACATACATACACATAAACACGAGAGTTTGACAAAAGACAGCGACTATTTTGCAGCGTCCTTATAGTATAGTAAAATAGTGTATACATGTATAACCGTGTGTTTAAACGGTTGTGATAAAGGTAATAATAATAATAGTCATAAATATTGTAGAAGGCAATCGAAATTTATTGATTTATATGCGGTGTTTTTCTATTGTAAATTATAATTTTGACACTGTTATAGTTATTTTGATTAAATTTCCTATTAATAATATACAATATTATTGTATATATGATCTTAGAACATACTGAAGACAAATTCTTGATCCTATTATAATTATATTAGATTTATAATGTTACAAATAAAATATTACATCGAGCAGTTAGTATTACATAATGAATTACTAAAATGAATATAAGTATTGCAATTACAATAGTATTATACTAGTATACATTTGAACTATTCGTCGTTACGAAGTAACTATTATAAAGCTCATCGACTCTGTGCCAATTTACAAATTGTAACCAGTAAAATACACCATCCGTTTCGTGTTTATCTCTACTATATGTCAGCTGTTGTGTGTGCATATTTCGGTAGCAAAAATATGTTATTTTCATTGTTGTCTATTTTTATATTATTATTTTTTTGCCAACGCAGTTTTTTTTTTTTTTTCAATTAATCAATGCGGCAATGGACTTGAAAAAATCGTGTCTGCGACCGTAATGGTTTTAGGTTCAAAAAAAAAATGAAACATTTTTTTTTACAATTATGGCTTTTGACAGACGCACTGCAGTTGAGGAAAACAAATAAGTTCATACCACCGTTCTAGTTGTAATAAAACTCGAAACCACAATTTAAGGGGCACAAAGATCGTCGCGTGGTGGCGTTGTGGATGACTATATTGTGCGAAAGAGGTAGTACACTTCTCTGCATTTGTACACCGAATATCTCTGGATACTTGGCGTACGTCCTATTTTTTTTTTAGATTGCGTATAACAAAACGTACGCGTATAAAATAGAAACGTATACATGTATAATTAAGTGGTGCGGTCCGTGCAAAATTAGACCGCGGGGCTAGTTCGCATCCCCAGAAACGTACATCATGTACCTACGACTACGACAATGAAATGGTGGCGTTATCGTTCGGACCATTCATTTCAACCTCCCCCGTGTGTACTACATTTCTACAGAACACTCTGTTCTGTTGTAGAACAACAGAAAACTCTTCTACTTACAAGTTACATAATTTGTAAGTATTCTGTATAAACTGTAACGATACGTAACAAGTAAATATGTAAACTTAACAGTCAGACTTCTCTCTACGTTGTGTTTTGTAACTACTACATTAGTCATTAAAATCGATCGTCATCGTGTCAAAATTAAGCTTTATGTTTGGCCACATCGATTACTAAAAACAGTTGTGAATCTTAGTAAAATTTTTGGTCAGAGAAACATTTGATTTTGGATTTCTCTTCTCCTAGTGATATGCGTTCAAGACACTTGTTTCAAATAATTCCATTTAGACGATTGTACTGCCCTTTCGGGATAAAAAAATAAAAATAATAATACAACTATCTACGTTTATATGAAATATCTACAGACATTTTATGAGCCCAGAAAATGACTCGTTGGTGGGAAGGTGTTGAAGAGAACTTCTCCGCATTAATAATAATAGTTAAAACCATCTCTTGTTCCGGCGACGCTGTCAGTCGTTTGTCTGTCGTCATCATCTGAAATCAAAATACAAAAATAATAGCAATAGTCGAACAACATTATAGACTACTGTAAGTTTTCTTAGTTGTTTTCGATGAATTAAACGTGAGAAGGTTTTTTTCAACTTCTACACTGTCAAATTATTTAAACAAAAATATATGGTATATTTTTGTTTAAATTATTACGTTGTAACGTGTGTTTGTTTTTCTATTGTAACTAATTTATTATGTCGTTGCTATTTTTTTTTTTTGTGCTATATTTATTTTTATAATTAGCAAACGATTCGGATAATTTATGGAAGTTCATTTATTATTTATATTATATTTGTAAAAATTTACCACACGATTTTTTAAAAAGTTATAGCGGTCACGCAGGTCTTAAATGGCTCGTCTAGTCTTCGGTTAATCGTTTAAAAAAATATACACACGTAATAGAAACTACATTTACTATGTATCTTGTATTTGCTGCGTTAGGAGAAGTTAAAATAGACATTCTAAAAGAACACGTACTTGATTCGTCACAGTCGCCGCCGCCGTATTGATCGTCCACAGCTGTTGTCTTCGATCCCGAGGTCGGCTTGTTGCAAAATTGATACGATGATCTGTAGTCGGTCGGTTCGTCGACAACGATTGCGTTTCCTTCGACTGAACAAAAGAAATATTGTCGTGGCATATTAAATCCGAATACAATAATGTGACGTAGTAAATAAATATAGTTTAAAAAACACGCTTTTAAAGCACATCGAACTAAAAAGTTAAAAATAATTTTTAAAATAAGCTTGAAACAATAATGAACGAAAAATACTAGTATTATTTTGATAAAAGCGTGGGTGCTTTGTGCCATATTTTTCGTATATTGAGCGCCCGCTTTTATCACAATAATACTAGTATTTTTCGTTCATTATTGTTTCAAGCTTATTTTAAAAATTATTTTTAACTTTTTAGTTCGATGTGCTTTAAAAGCGTGTTTTTTAGTTTTTTTAAACTATATTTATTTTTTACTTTTTAGTTTCATGTTATGATAGTAGTTACTATCAATATCATGGTTGTAACGGGTAACGGGAAATCAGAGTACGATTCCGGGGAGGAAGTCTGAGAAAAGGCTACCACATCCAAGGAAAACAGTAGGCGCGCAAATTACTCACTCCCGGAACGTGGTGGTAGTGACGAAAAATGACGATACGCGGGAATCATCCTTTGTAATCGGAATGAATACATTCTATATCTCTTAATGAGAATAAAGCGTGTTAATATATATTTTTAATAGTAATTAGAATATATATATACATGTAAAGCGACTTAACTACGTAAACGTATCATGTACGAGGTATAGCTGTGTTTTGTGGGCGGGCGAGGCACGGGGGAACGTTGTACGCGAGGCATATGCGGTGGCTGTAGGAATATATATATACACATACATATATATAGTAAGACGACATAAGTACGTAAACGTATCATGCAATAGGNTTTGTGGCTTTTGAGTTTAATATTTTTAATATTTTTTAGTTTTTTTAAATTAATAATATTTTTAATATAGTTTTAATTTTACTCAATAGGTATAGCCTTGTTTTGTGGGCGGGGGGACGTTATACCCAAGGTATAAACGGCTGCAGCGACGGTAGGAATACATTAATATATATACGTAAGGCGCATTACATGCAGGTGGTATTGGTCAGTCAAAATAAAAATTTGTTTATATATATATAATTAATGTCACGCACGCTTGTACGGGTACGAAAACCAAAAATATAAAATTATACAGGAAAATATTGTTATCGGCGAGTGGTGAGCGGGGTGGGGTGAATGCGTTACGACAGTATAGTCTCAAGATCATACACGACGGGATACGCGACATAATAACACGAGCCGCGTGGAGTTACAAACTTACAAACTTACAAACGACAAACAACATACATGTGAAACTAATATAAGCGTGTTAAAAATCTCGAGTGCTAATAATGGAGCGATTCAATATTTAAAAAAAACACTGGGCGTTTGAAATCGCACGGTGTTTGTTTGTTTGCGGAAAAACGTGTGTATCAACACGATTGAAAAGATATACGGAAAAGTTTTTAATACGCTAGTGTTTTTTGAATTACATAATTTTATATGCGCGCAACTGTTGTTGGCGTGACGCTTTGTTTTGTTCGCGCGAAAAATTTTTCAAATGTACTACTATTACTCACTTTTAAAGGGTACACAAAATCTGTCGTCTAACGGTTCCGCCCACACGTTTTTGTGAGAATACGTGATTTTCTCGTAAGGCGTTATCCCTCGAATACCTTTTTGCGTGACCATGTACCACTGACACCTGTATCTGAGATCTTGGATCCGTCCGCTTCCTAAACCGATCGAAAACGTTAAATAAATAACAAGAAATCGTACGGTTCCGTCGTCAAAGTAAATTAATTTCTGTCGTGTTTCGAGCGTTATCTTTTTGCTTTATTAAATTGAATTCTTCTTCGGTAAACGCGTCGGGAAATATTCGCAGTTTCGATTAGGCCAGTCGAATACGGCGGTTATACTCACCCATTTCATAGAGCGCGTTCCTCGAGTTCTTTGTCAGTTTCTTGGACGCTTCGTCAAAAGTAAAGAAAATTGCCACGTGACCGCTTTTCATGGACGACCTCGCCGCCTCCAACCACACGTCCATTTCCGAGCTGCTGCGTTCATACGTGTCAAAGTTTTTCAAAGCCGCCACGGTGTAAGTCGACGGTTCGACGAGCACGACGTTGATGCCTCGTCCGGCCACACTCCTGTTGTACGCCACAATGCTGAAAACACACACACACACGATCATCGTCTACACAACCACCGTTAGTTTCAATCGGATTTGTAATTGTAGTTGAAGTCGATCGACTACCGAACATATTCACGGCTTTCAAAATCGCGAGAATATGTTCCAAGATTCAACATCCAATCTAATCCGAATGGCCGCACGACGGTGGCAGCACACTCACTATTTTCCCATAACGCACAGCTTCGGGAAATCCGTCGTGTTCCTTCCGGTGTACACGTGCACCGGAAAAGTGTTGTCCGGGCATATAGTCTGAAGACCGCAGTTGGGCGAGATTTCGATCACTTCAACGGACGGCGTCTTTTCTCCGTCGTCGTCGTCGCCTGTGTAAATAATTTGCCGTACAGTAACGCGTAACCTTGTGTGCATCGCAGTGATAATCATTGTATACTACCGTACCAACGTAACGCGACAACATTCATTTAAGACCGACAGCAGCCTATGGAAAATTTAAATACAAATTGGAAATTCCCGTGACGGTCGATCACGTTAACGTGTGTGTGAGTTAATATCATTTGTGTCTCGAATGCCGTCTGACGTGGTCCGGCGAGCACGTAAACGATTAAAGCAACGCACCGGCACATAATAATAATGGTAACAATACCGTTATGTTATGTTTTTTAAATTGTTGTTGTGAATTTAATTTATCAAATAGATTGTATGATCGAGTCGTGATGAATCAAAAAATTTTATCTTCGGAAAGACATTCCTAGTTTTTAGTTGCGCGTCAGAACTAAATTTGTTTTATTGGTTAATAAAATAAATTATTTTATCGATTAATGAAATAAATTATTTTTATTACAATTTATTGTTGTCCTATCAGACGCTACTGCTCCCAATCGTGTTCAGAACGGAATTGTCTCGCCAGACGTTTGACTCGTAATTTTTAAAAACTTGCTCTTTACAAACCGAAAAAATAATTCCGTGCTGACAACGCTATGATGTGTAATAGATATTTGATTGTTTGTAAAAACGCTTACCTAGCATCACTTCGGATGCGTTCCGAGAACTCCGAGTGGTAATCGCCGTGGAGGGTTCTACGCGGTGGTATATTGAGTAGAACGAATCTGTGAAAAAAGTCTTGTACAGGAGTACGGCGAACACGATGATGGCGCACATGACAAATCGGAATGACGAGCCTGTGTGGACAAAAAAAAAAACGCAATAAAAAAATATTTTCTGTAATCCGCGCGGTCAGACGATGACGGTGAATATCCCGTGTTGTCCAAAGAGTTGATATCATCCGATGATACCAACTCCTAGCCGCCGAAAACAAAACCAATTGTTGTCGTATACACTTACTCGACAATATGTCCAAAACTGAATATCCGCTTTTCGCACGACCACTGCAAGTGTCTTCGTCATCGGCAGTTCTTTCGCCATCTCCTCCAATATTCACACGAGTAGTAACCCGTTTGTTTACACTTGGCAACAGTCCGAATCCGTTTTTTTTTCTATACTTCTTGATAGAGTTCCTATACAATCGAACATTGTGTAAAATGTATCAGTACGTTTTTTAATAGAAGCCATTTGGACCACACGAAATAAGGGCGGCGGCCTCCCGGCAATGAATAACTTAGGGAAAATTACATTTTATTGATATTCTTATTTATATTTTGGCTTACCATTAAAATAGTATATAAGAAACCTAACGTTTTAAATATGTCGTACTCGGTCCACGAACTGAACTGAACGGCAGGATATAGCGGCGTTTACGATGTGTTGAATTTAAACAAAAAAACCTTCGAATCCGATCAAAAACTATCTGAATGTACCGATATAATGGCCGTCTATCGTATTACTCGTAGGAATACAAGAAACTCGCGTCCCGATGAAATTTTACTTCATAAATTAGTATTGCTGATTTTTCATTTATTAAATCTAGAAAAACATTTAAGTAAAAACAAAAAAAAAACATTATTTTTAAATGAGTGGTCAAAGATTTAAAAATCACCTAATTGATCAAAACTAAAAAAATTAACAATTTTATTTTTAGTTAAAGTGAATAATACAATAAAATAAATCTCATAAACGGGTGTTGGTCTAAGTCTATTAAACAATCTTTAGAGTAATATATTTTTTAACTTTTATTTCTAACTTCGAAAAAAAAATTACTTTACTTTGGTTTCATTAAACATAATTTATCATATTTTGATGTCGGAAACCTCTTTTCTATCATTAAAATTTAGATTATAAATTTAAAAGAAAAGAAAATATAATTTAAACAAAAATGATTGGTACACAATAGTATACCGGGGGTTTGGAAATGTAAATTAATTATAATTACATAAAAATCATCGATTTCTATAAGATTCTGTTCATAAAATACATTTTAATACATTAAGATAAGTCATTATAATAATAAGTATTATAACTTTTTAACACGAATGGGTTAATGGATATGCAATTTCCATACACCAATGAATTATAAAATATATACAAATTAATATTTAATAGAAATGGGAGATATTTACAATATAAATAAGTCGACGATTTAAAAATGATTTGTGTTTGCGTCAGTTGCAAAAATTAATAAAACTATTTTAGCTGTGAATCATAATTACGGCGTTTCATTTTTGCAAATATAATGATTACTTTTGTGTTAGTTTTTATGACTAATAAATAGTATACATCCAAGATTTTAATTATTCTAAGAGTTTATCTATCCTACGTATTACACATGTAAGAAATTAGTGAAAGAATTTTGCAAAAAATCAACTACATTGATTTGGTTTCAAATCCATTCAAAATTCGACGAATTTATTTCAACATTGTGATAGCTTATTTAAAAAAAAACAAGTCTTGTCAGTTTATTTGTTTAAGTCGACACTTACCTACTGATACTCGACTTATGATTGTAGATAGAGTTATAATACCTCATCGGCATCGCGATTTAAATTGTTCGAGATTTATTATTTTCCAACAGCCGACTGTGATAAGAAGCTCTGGTGGTGGTGTTATCGAGAAAATAATGATTTCAACGAAAACATGAACGCGTAGTAAACAGCTGTGTGGAATTATTTATAGCGGGGGAAGGTTAGTGTTACGACGAGAATGCGTTGTACGAACACCGAGTAGTACGGTGGTATTGATTTTCTAATACAGAAAATGGCCACCGCCGTTCCAATTTCCCGCCGTTGAGTCAAAATCTTAACCGCCAATCCTTTTAGCTTCGATGCGAAGCTGAGAAAGTATTAATTTTACCATGATGTGTTTTTTTTTTTTTATATTTATTTTTTTTTTTAACCCAACCAATTTCTTTCAACTATATGTCAAAAGATCACAAATGGTATCTAGTTGAAAACATTAACTTTGAAAATTGAAAAATTTTCCCTCGTTCCCCACAAATGGGGGAAATCTTCAAAAAAATTACACAAAATAAATCGCTAATTTTCGAAAAATTTTCAATTTTTTTTACTTATAACTGCCATAATTTTAATAAATATGACTTAACACTAATAATTTTTATTTTTAGATGCATAATGTCTTTAATTGTCATATGGTAAATTTTTTTTATAAATCTGACCCTTTACATACCCACAATTTTTTGTAAAAATTTGACCATTTACAAGCTCTCAGGAAGGGTTTCAAAATGACAACTTTTTCACAAATAATTAACTTTTTCAACTTAACTTTTGAAAATGTTCCGGAAAATCTGACACTAGCAGAATAATAATAACTTAAACATTTTTTTTTTTATAATCTTTAGTTACATATTATTCTTGAATTTTTAACTATGTAATAATTTTTAAGTTCATCCCTTATGCCTTGTAAGGGGGTCAACTTTGTTTTTTTAAATGGTAACACATATTTTTAATTTAATAAAATGTTTGAGTTTTTAATTTAATAGTAAATGGCATTTGAATTTTTAATATAACTTAATTCGTTTATTAGATATAAACATTTAAAGTTTCAAATTTTTGAGTTATTATACAGGTATAATACACAAGGGATAACAAATATAGGTAGCTTATTGGTTTTTTATGACATTGCTGTCACAGTCAATTTTCGAAATTTTTTCAATTTTTTTTCTTAAAATTGTCATACATTTTTTTATGATATTGCTATCACAGTCACGGATTGTTTATTATCAATTATGACTATCAATAGATATACTTTTTGTATTGTCAGTTAGTGTATTTATAAACTCACAACAATGTACCTTACTATCATTGATAATAACAATGCTGTGTATCTGCTAATATCGATGTCATAAAAACCCTATATTTAGGGTTTCAAAATGACAACTTTTTCACAAATAATTAACTTTTTCAACTTAACTTTTGAAAATGTTCCGGAAAATCTGACACTAGCAGAATAATAATAACTTAAACATTTTTTTTTTTATTATCTTTAGTTACACATTATTCTTGAATTATTAACTATGTAATACTTTTTAAGTTCATCCCTTATGCCTGGTAAGGGTGTCAACTTTGTTTTTTTAAATGGTAACACATATTTTTAATTTAATAAAATGTTTGAGTTTTTAATTTAATAGTAAATGGCATTTGAATTTTTAATATAACTTTATTAGCTTATTAGATATAAACATTTAAAGTTTCAAAATTTTGAGTTAATATACATGTATAATACACATGGGATTGTAAATACAGGTAGCTAATTGGATTTTTATGACATTGCTGTCTCAGTCACGGATTGTTTATTATCAATTATGATTATCAATAGATATACTTTCTGTATTGTCAGTTAGTGTATTTATAAACTCATAACAATGTGCCTTACTATCATTGATAATAACAATGCTGTGTATCTGCTAATATCGATGTCATAAAAAAACAATAAGCTACCTATATTTGTTATCCCTTGTGTATTATACCTGTATAATAACTCAAAAATTTGAAACTTTAAATGATTATATCTAATAAACGAATTAAGTTATATTAAAAATTCAAATGCCATTTACTATTAAATTAAAAACTCAAACATTTTATTAAATTAAAAATATGTGTTACCATTTAAAAAAACAAAGTTGACCCCCTTTCAAGGCATAAGGGATGAACTTCAAAAGTATTACATAGTTAAAAATTCAAGAATAATGTGTAACTAAAGATAATAAAAAAAATAAATGTTTAAATTATTATTATTCTGCAAGTAATTGAGTGGGTTAAGATAAAAAAATCACCCTGTATATTAAATTATGCTAATGTAAAGTACTTAATTATGTGCAAAAAAATTTCGTACTTCATCTTGTCTTCACGGTGAAAATGGCTACCAAATGCTATTATTGTGTGTAAATTCTCAATTTTGCATTTTACATTTTAAACTTTAATATGCTAAAACTTTTTGAAAAATGTATGGATCAATTCAATATTTTCATGAGTAGTAGTATTTATATACATCTCTCATTCGACATAATTTTTTTTTAAATCGAACCATTTTCCTATATATGGAGTGAGGGGGGGTTTAAATCTAAAAAATGCATATAGAAAGTTGAACTTTTTCAACTTAACTTTTGAAAGTGTTCCGGAAAGTCTTTTTTTGTTTAAAACTTCTATAACATCTTCAAAAATCAACAAATAAACATAATTTTTTGTTATATAAAATCCTTAGTTATTTTCCTTTTATTTTATATAATTTTTTGTACTGCATCCTTTAAATATATGTTAAATTAAAGCTTGGTGAAAATGGCTATCGTATTCAAAAATATGCTATTTTTGTGTTAAAATTCTGGGTTTTGTACTTTATTTTATTTTAAAATATCTTACAAGGGGAATACACTGATTTTTATGAATGTTACATAATTTAATTGACATAAAATAAAGTTCATAAGACATAAGAATTTATACTTATTCAAATTTTTTTACTTTTTTAAAGTCGAAAAAGTAATTTATAAATTTGAGTTATCTTAAATAATTCATTTTTTAATTTTTGCGATAGCAACGAACAGTCGCCGAGTCGGTAACACTTGTGTTTCTCACGCTTAGGGTATGGGGTTCAAGTCCGTCTGTGGCAATATATTTTGCTTTTTTTTGAGTTAGAATAATATTTTCAAATCATTTGATATTTATCTCATTTAGATTCAATAACTTCAATAAATATAAAGGATCCTATCACTATAGTCTCCCTTCGTGAAAAGAAATTTGTATTCATGCTAATATTATTTTACTATGTAGTTTTTTTTGTGGCTACGATTTATTTTGTCAACCCTCACTAGATTTACTTTTTTCAACGATATGTCAAATGATTACAATTCGTATTTAGTTTAAGTTATTACTCTTAAGAATCGAAAAAATTTTTCTTATTCAAATAAAAAGTAGCTAAACCAGCTTTTTCCATACAAACAATTAAAATCATTAATTTCTAATATTTTTAAAGTATTTATTGTCGAATTAGATTTGAAATGATAAAAGTATTCAACCACAAAAGTAAATAATTTTACTTTGTAATTTATTAATTTTTTAATTCTATTTGTGTGTGCTTCTACCAGTCTATAATATTCCAATTCTTTTTGTAATATGTTGTTATATAAATCATAAATTAAAAAAAAAAAAAAATGATTTTTAGATTCATCTAAATTTAACGATGGATTTTTATAATTATTTTCAAATATTATAATACGCTAAATTTAGTAAATCTTTTTTTTTATTGGTTTTCTTAGATATATAATTATTAAAATTAATTAAATTCTGAACATTTCCATTGTAGAATTCTTTAAACACCAAAAGTTAATTAGAAATGATTACTATGATTTTTATATAAGTGATCCATTAAGATAAAAATGTAAATAAAAAATTATACAATTTCCAGATTGCATATTAATCTTAACAATTTCATTTTTTTCTATTTAATAACGTCAATATCAAACTTGCAAGTTGAACTATAAAGTTATGGTAACAAATTAATTTTTTGTTTTATTAAAACTTTTACTTTAAAGGACAAAAAAAAGTAGATTCAAAATGATTACATTTAACATATTAAAAATCAAAATCAATAATAATTTGAAAACAATTAATTTAAAAAATTATATAATATATAATTAAAAGAAATACTAATCTGGGTAAAATTAAGGAAATAGACGTTGATGTTGCTTTTGTCCATCAATTTTTTAGAATTAAACACTATCTATAGATTTGCATCGAAGCATTGGGTTGGGTTTATACTGGACTTAACAATGCAATATCCCTACTATGTCACGACCCCACTGTGCTGGGTTTTATTATTGAGTTTTATTTTCATAATTCTAAGTTAACCAAAAAAAAGTTATGAGACATAGATCAGTTATTTCTATTAAATTGACCTCTTTAACTCATATTAATAGTTTCGAGAGCACGGGTTAACCTTAACAAATCAGTCCCAAATTTCGCAAAACTTATTTTTTTGACTATTAAAAAAAAAAAATTAAGGGGTAGCGTAAAAAAAAAGATTCGAAGACATTCGATTTTTAATTAATTAAAACATCACCTAGTCTTAATCTTCCTAATTCTATAAATGCTAAATTGTCAATTGATACACAAAATTTAAACAACACTACAGAAAATAATTCAGAAACCATAAAATAAATATAAATAAGTCATCATTTAATTCACAAGAAAATATTGCTTCTGAGATTAAACCGGGTTGGTCTACGTTATAATATAATTTATTTTGCTCTTTATGACTTACTTAATTGTCTATCTAAGTTTCCACAGCTTAATCAATTACCCAAACGTGCAAGAACATTTCTTAAAACACCATCTTTTACAATTTTTAAGAAAATTGGAGGAGGTTTGTTGTTTTTTTCTCTCTAAGCTTCACAGTTCAGATATTGAATCAGATATTGATTCTCATGGTCAATATTATTTTACATATAATCTGCGTCAGTACAAGTAAATGTTTTATCCCTACATATTCGTTATGATTTTTACCTTAAGTGATGAACATTATTTTAGATGATTTATTACATTTTACCCAGATATAATTCTTATTTATTTTTATTATTACATAATATCTATATGAGAAATTAATATTGTTTTAATGTATTTATAAAGGGTTTAAATATTATTGTACTCTTCATTTCTGGATAGCCTTAAATTTATCAAAAAGAGT